TCCAAGCCCCACCGAGGATGCCACGAATTTGAGGTTCTTCCCCACAGCTTTTTAAATAAAAATGTTTCCATACAAGAGGGATCTAGAAGCACTTCCTGTGCACTATGTTGGGCCCGACTTCAGCATACTCTTCCTTGGAGATCCACATCTCCTGGAAGGCAGAGAGGGATGCCAGGATGGATCCGCCCATCCACACCGAGATCTTCCTGTCGGGAGGGGCATTGACCATCACTTCGGTGTCCTTGGGTGCCATGCGGATCAGCTCCTTGGTTAAGCGCTCCCCAATCCCAGGGAAGAGGCTGGAGCCCCCAGAGAGGAGCACATTGGCGTACAAAGTGGTCCTCAAGTCGATGTCACACTTCATGATGGTATTGAAGAGGAGCTTGTCAATCCCAGGGGCTTCCATGCCAACATTCGCTGGGCGGAAGAGCGTCTCAGGACAGCGGAACAATTGGTTGTGGATCTTGATGATCTGCCCATCGGGCAACTTCCAAGTCTTCTCTATCGCCGTCGGCTTTTTCGCCATCTCTTCCTCTGGGTTCAGGCAGACGTAGCACAAGGCTTCCTTGATGATCCGCACAATTTCCCTCTCAGCTGTGCTCACTAAGGCAATGCCACTCTCTCGCAGGATCCTCATGAGATATTCAGTGAGATCCCGGCCCGCCAGGTCTAGCCGGAGGACGGCATGGGGCAAGCAGTAGCCTTCGAATATGGGGACAGTGTGGGTGACCCCATCGCCAGAATCCATCACACAGCCTGTGGTGAGACCTGCCGCATAGAGCGCTAGTACGGCTTGGATGGCCACGTAGAGGGCCGGCACCTCGAACTTTTCAAAGAGCAGTCGCGTCATTTGTTCACGGTTGGCCAACGGGTTCAGCGGCGCCTCTGTTAGCAACGCAGGTCTGTTGCAGGCATTGAGCTTCAGTTCATTCTCATACACATGTTTCCAAATTTTCTCCATGTCTGGCCAGGAGGTGACAATTCCGTGTTCCACTGGATATCTAAATTGTATTCATACAAATAAAAGAAAGATGGTGGTGATATATTACCAAATGGAAACATGGCTTAGTTAGAAAGTCATTACTCATAAGCATACCCCAAAATCACATTGTACACTTTTTTGGATTATTATGTTAGTCCACACTGGCACTGAGTTTACTTGTTATACTCAGTATAGCCCAAGTCCCTACAGTTTCACCTAACAAACAAATACTACTTCTCTAGGAATATTTAGGTACTCCGGGTCATTTAGCATTATGCTTCTGCTGGAAATTACCATGGAGTTGCATTGGAGGATCTAGCTAATTTCTAGAAAGGATACCTTTGAGGATTTTGCAGGTCTTCCAAGATTTCTCTATGGGCAAACTTGGGCCCTCCAGATGTTTTGGATGTCAACTCCCACAATTCCTAACAGCCGGTTGACATGGGAGTTGACATCCAAAACACCTGGAGGGCCCAAGTTTGCCCATGCCTGCTCTGTAGTACATTCCAATATAATTTGTTCATTTAAACAGTCTACTATTATCTGTGGTTTCATGTTTCCATTGTATGTTCGAAAACATATTCCCAACAGATACAAGGATGGCTCTTTACTAGAAATGGAAGTATATATTAAACATCCCAAACTAGAAAGTTACAAAAATGCTAAATATCCCATGCATGTCATATTTCTGTGATAAATCTGAATCAGTTTCCATTACAGTAGAGTCTCGCTTATCCAACTTTCGCTCATCCAACATTCTGTATTATTCAACACAATCTGCCTCCCCCGGAACCACAGCTGTTTCAATACGTTGTGATGTTTTGGTGCTAAATTCATAAATACAGTAATTACTACATAACGTTTCCGGGTATTGAACTGCTTTTTCTGACGATTAGTTGTAAAACATGATGCTTTGGTGCTTAACCTGTAAAATCATAATGTTACTTGAGATTTAATAGGCTTTTCCTTAATCCCTCGTTATCCAACATTTTCGCCTATCCAATGTTCTGCCGGCCCAGTTATGTTGGATAAGCAAGACTCTACTGTACTCTCATGGGCTGGATCTACACTGCCAAATAATGTAGTTTTACTAGGTCACAACCTCTGAGGATGCCTGCTATAGATGCAGGTGAAACATCAGGAGAGAATGCTTCTAGAACATGGCCAAACAGCCCGAAAAACCTACAACAACCCAGTGATTCCAGCCATGAAAACCTTCGATAATACAATGTAGTTTTAGAATGCAGTTTAACTGCACTGAACTAGATTATAAGAATCTACATTGCATACAATCCAATTCAATGCATCTAAACTGCATTATTTGGCAGTGTAGATCGAGCCTAAGAATCTTGGAAGTTACTTCTGTGAAAGACAAAAGGTTTTCCACCAGTGTTTAACACTAAATGCAACTTTTCCTGGAGAGTTTGCTTTGCTTTTAGTATGGAATGACGGGTTATTTATGAAACTTAAATCTATTTCATTTATAGAACAGCAGTATGTAGAAAAATCAATGTATTTTTTAAGGGACTGAGTTCCTGGTAAAACAGCCATTGTACAACTGTTGTAATATTAAAACAGAGTCAAACTGCTTTCAGTTAAGCTACTCCTATGCAATGCCTTTAAGGTTGGGTGAAAAGTTCAATGTGCAACAAAATTCATTGCAAACAGTCCGTTCAAAGCAACATTTCCAAAGTTTTCCCAACTTGCTACAATATATGCACAATTTTTGTATAAAAGATTGAAATGGACCAAGTTATACCGATCTTATAAAGTTCGGTATAACTTGGTCCATTTCAGTCTTTTATACAAAATCTTCCCCTTATTGCCCCATGCTTTTATGATTTTTTAGCATGTGGCAGGCAAATTTAGCGCATGGCAAGGCTAAAATGGATCGCATTCCAACCAAAATGATGTAGGATTTCAAAACTAAAAGCTGAGGCTGGATCTACTTTGCCAAATAACGCAGTTTCAGAATGCAGTTTATGAGTCTACGATACGATATAATCCCGTTCAATGCAGGAAAACCGCATTATATGGCAGTGTAGTAAATCCAGCCTGTGTGAATGCCCACTTTTGACTTTAGGGAAAGAACATATAAATGTCTTGCTTTAAAGGGAGAGATACCATTCCTGAAGGTGTCTAGAACCACAAATTTCCTTGTTAACATTTTGCTAGTAGCAATAAGGTGGTTAAAAGGGGCTAAGAAATAATGTTTGTTTATTATTATTATTATTATTATTATTGACACAAAAGCACAGTATATCACAGCAAACGAGATCTATATGGTGGATTTTGTATCACAAAATCACAAGTCAAACACTTCCCAAGCGTCTAGGACTGTGTGATGTATTTTCGAATGATGCACGCAGATCCAAGTAAGGTGGCCTTTTGCAGTTGACAGATCGTGATTTTGTCGATGTTTATTGTTTCCAAATGCCGGCTGAGATTTTTTGGCACGGCACCCAGTGTGATGACAACCACTGGGACCACCTGTATTGGTTTATGCAGAGCCTTTGCAGTTCGATTTTGAGGACCTGATAGTGGCTGAGTTTTCCCTGTTGTTTTAATATTATTATTAGAAACACAACAAGAGTGCACAGCAGACACTCTGCTGGCTGTTGTATTGCATCACATGTCGGACACTTCCCAAGTGTCTAGGACTGTGTGATATGGTGGCCTTTTGCAGCTGTCATATGGTAATCTTGTCATTATTGTTGTTGTTGTTGTTGTTGTTGTTGTTGTTGTTATTGTTATTTCTTACCCGCCTCTCCTTGGCTTGAGGCAGGATACTAGACAATTGAAAGCACAGTGAAAACACTAGAAATACACACACAAAAACTTATCTCCATAAAAGTTATACACCAAAACGTATCTCTGAAAATACATACTAAAACACACAAAACAAAGATCAAACAAAGGACACTTAAAATTCATGTTTAAAGACTCTCTTGTAGGCCTGCCAGAAGAAATAGGTCTTTACATGGTTTTTAAATTCCAACAACTCATTTAGCTGTCAGGAGTTCTTCCAGCAGGTCATTCCACAGTCTTGAGATTTCTAGTCCCAAATAAAACAGATCCATTGAATCAATTAAGTTTACCTATGCTTTGATTTGCCATTCAACAATTATTTAATAGATCCGTTCTAATTGGGATTCACAGGTGGCCTTGAAATCCTTTTTTGTCAGATTGCGCCATGAAAGCAAAAAAACCCAAAAAAACAAAAAAAACTACCGGTAGTTCCAAGCCTTCTATTTTCCCAAGTCTGACCCAAAATGTTTTCTACCAGAGAAGAAGGACAAGATATCTGCAACACAGCCACTGATTTCATTAACAACATCTAATCAAATGTGCATTTGAATCATATTGAAATGCAACCATTCTGCAGCTAAGGAAAGAACTTTAGGAAGGAAAAGCCAAACGGCACACACAGCTCTGTCCTTCCAGCTTAGTTTCTCCTGTTCCCAAGCATCAGATGCCTGAAGTTGGGCCCATGGTGACTTATTACAATCTTTTCTGTTTAGACTGGGAAACGTCTACCAGCCAAGTACATCCATGGCCCCATCTCCACTACCATATACTGTAATGCAGTTTAACTGCATTGGAGTGCATTATATGGTGGTGTAGACTCATATAATATGAAACTACATTATATGATAGTGGAGATGGTAGCCTATGCTTGAGTTCAGCTGTTCCTCATACACTTACCATCCAGCTTCCAATGTCACTATATAATATTAACTACAGAAAAACAACAGCATACATGCTGGACCCAACTATTGAGGAAAACCATTGTGGAAAATCATCTTTTCCTGGACCTGCCAGACAAATAATTGAAGGCCTAAGCCTTCCACATCACAGGTAACCATAAAGTTCATCTGTGGGTTTGTACAGCAGCCACTGCAAGGTGTATTACCTTCTGACTACTAAGGCATAATGGTTAATTTTCCAAGGTGTATTACCTTCTGACTACTTAAGGCAGGGGTCTTCAAACCTTTTAAACATAGGCCAGGTCACAGTCCCTCAAACTGTTGGAGGGCCGGATTATAATTTGAAAAAAATAAATGAATGAATTCCTGTGCACATTGCACATATCTTATTTGTAGTGCAAAAAACACTTTAAAACAATACAATAATTAAAGTGAACAGTATTAGTATTTCAATGGGAAGTGTGGACCTGCTTTTGGCTGATGAGATAGGGTTGTTGTTGTTGTTGTTGTTGTGTGCTTTCAAGTCCTTTCACACTTATGTTGACCTTGAGTGAGGGCCGGGTAAATGACCATGGAGGGCCGTATCCAGGCCCCGGGCCTTAGTTTGAGGACCCCTGACTTAAGGCATAATAGTTATTTGTCTCCTTCTCTATAGACAACTAGCTCCCGCTATTTCAGCAGGTTACTCAGTTCATTGTAAGCACAGGACTTCTTTTCTTCCCTAATCCTTTTCTACCTATGTATCATATTTTTAGACTGCAAGGCAGAGGGCAGAGAATGCAATGTAATCTATCTTTTAAGATATAATGATGAGACTTTTTGATAAATGGGCAAGCCATAAATACTAGGAAGGAATGAAGGAAGGAAGGAAAAAAAGGGAAAGAGAAAGACACAGAAAGACAGATGGAGGGAGGGGAAAGATGATGGATGTGTAGGTAGGTAGGTAGGTAGGTAGGTAGGTAGGTAGGTAGGTAGATAGATAGATAGATAGATAGATAGATAGATAGATAGATAGATAGATAGATAGAGCTTGTCCTGCGCAGGCAGTCTGTACTGCTGTACAGCCACCCAATGTTCAGGTTAGCCAACACTTATCGATTCCCTGTGGTTGGCAAGGGCGATCGGAGCACCTGAGGGAGAGGATCCCTCGCTTGGCTTGTGCTTCGTCTCCAATGTAGTAGTCCTTCTGGCCGGCTCCCAGCATCACAGACTTGGCCTTGGGGCGGCCGACCAAGTTGGTGAAGATGACCCGCGGCTCCTTGTCCCCGGCGACCCCAGCTTTGAGCAGGCCAGAACCATTATCGATCACGATGGCTGGTGGCAGTTCCCCCATCCCTGGACGATGGTCTTGCTTCTGCTTGTTCCTGCTCAGGGCCCTTGCCCCTCAGTGGGTCTATCTTTTACTGGGGGGGAAAGTGAGGCTCACAATCTCCCAAGGCAGGTGTTGCTGGCTCTATTGTGACCTCCATGTTGCTATGATACCTTCTCCTCCAGCTGTGCAGGGCTGGGTATTGTATCTAAATGGGAGGAGGTCCAACCACAAATCTTATGTGCTATGTCAATTTTCCATGCTTCAAGATCTGTGAGATCGTGATTCTCCTCTTCTCTTAACTGGGAAATTATAATGCAATGTGAAAACATGTTGCTGGTTTCGTTGAGACTTCATTCCTTTCCACTTTGCTCATCTTGGGAGGAAAATCTTTAGATAATATTACCTTCTCTGTAGTTTACAGAAAAATAGATGACCAGATACACTGTGATGTCATGATTGGAAGAGAATAATAGAATCCTAGAGTTGAAGACTCTACCAAGCTTGCAAACTTTGTGTTTTGTTTGTTTGTTTGTTAAAAATGCAATACAACTGTTTGGTTTGCTCCTGACACAATAAATAAATAGAGTTGAAGAGACCTCATGGGCCATCCATCTGCTGCCCTGGAGACTCGGAAAAATGGCTGACTGCGAGAGCTGTTCAGCAGTGGAACTCTCTGCCCCGAAGTGTGGTGGAGGCTCCTCCTTTGGAAGCTTTTAAACAGAGGCTGGATGGCCATCTGTTGGAGGTGCTTTGAATGTGATTTTCCTGCTTCTTGACAGGGGGTTGGACAGGGGGATGGCCCACAAAGTCTCTTCCAACTTAATGATTCTATTATTTTTAAGTAAGTCTGAAAGTGTTTGTACCATACCTGGTGAAATCTTTGTGTCCAGAAGGGGATCTGATTGGGATTTACAGTGTTTACATGCAAAAAATAAAAATAAAAATCCAGTGCTTCTCAAAACAGTCTTCCTTTGACTGTGAGCAGATTGAGAATAGAGGGCATACCTTTTAAGAGTAGTAGCAATAGTGGAGTATAGTTCTCTTTGATAGGGAAAGGATACCTCTCAATGGATGCATCTACACTGTAGAATTAATGCACTTTGACTCACATTGAATCATAGAATCAAAGAGTTGGAAGAGACCTCATGGGCCATCCAATCCAACCCCCTGTCAAAAAGCAGGAATATTGCATTCAAGCACCCCTGACAGATGGCCATCCAGCCTCTGTTTAAAAGCTTCCAAAGAAGGAGCCTCCACCACACTCCGGGGCAGAGAGTTCCACTGCTGAACGGCTCTTACAGTCAGGAAGTTCTTCCTCATGTTCAGATGGAATCTCCTTTTTTGTAGTTTGAAGCCATTGTTCCACGTCCTAGTCTCCAGGGAAGCAGAAAACAAGCTTGCTCCCTCCTCCCTGTGGCTTCCTCTCACATATTTATACATGGCTATCATATCTCCTCTCAGCCTTCTCTTCTTCAGGCTAAACATGCCCAGCTCCTTAAGCCGCTCCTCATAGGGCTTGTTCTCCAGACACTTGATCATTTTAGTTGCCCTCCTCTGGACACATTCCAGCTTGTCAATATCTCTCTTCAATTGTGGTGCCCAGAATTGGACACAATATTCCAGGTGTGGTCTAACCAAAGCGGAATAGAGGGATAGCATTACTTCCCTAGATCTAGACAATGGATCAATGCTGTGAAATCCTGTGATTTGTAGTTTGGTGAGGTGCCAGCACTCTTTGGCAGAGAAGGCTACAAAGTCCTTATAAGACTACAACTCCCATGACTCCATATCATTGATCAGTGGTATCAAATTGTATTGACTCTATAGTGTAGGTGCAGCCTAAGATTTTTTTTATTATTATTATTATTATTATTATTATTATTATTATTATTTATTATTATTATTATATATTTTTTTGTGCTCTTTAGAACTTGAAACCAGCCCTACAGAGTAATCTGATCTCATTGAACTCAGTGGGATTGTATTACAAGTAGGTTTACACTGTGCTTCTATTTTCTCAGCAAAGAGGGCAGCACCAGTTCCCAGGGAGGTTTCCGTAGTGTAGTGGTTATCACGTTCGCCTAACACGCGAAAGGTCCCCGGTTCGAAACCGGGCGGAAACACATTTTCTTTCCTTAATTATTTTCAAAGACAGCGACCCAAAATTAAGCCAACAGCATGTTCAAAGTGCAACATATTCCCAGATACAAGGGATACTTAATACAAACAATTTCTAACTTCAGAATCAATTTAACTTTTTTAACTACTTTTTGAAAGCCAGGGTTGCTTTAAAAATTACTTTAATCCTGAAAACCAGACAAAAAAGTTCTTCTATGAATAAATGGAGATTTAAAAAAAACTTAGCAAAATAAGACTTCTGTGATTATTTTGCATCAAGTTGATACTTGATTCAGCGATAGGGAAGATAATTTCCAATGCTTTCCTATGAGAGTTTCCGTAGTGTAGTGGTTATCACGTTCGCCTAACACGCGAAAGGTCCCCGGTTCGAAACCGGGCGGAAACATTTAGTTTAATTTCACAAATAAAAAAAGTCACATTATTTCGCCTTATTGAAAGGTTTTCTTAATTCAGTGTCTACAAAAATGGAAATTTCATGAGTTCGGGAAAGAGAGAGGCGCTTTAACATGGTGGATAGAAGTAGCTTTTTTAACTTTTCCAGTGTAGATACTAGGCTCAATTAGAGCTAATGCAGAATTAATCCACTTTCATGGGGTTTGACATAAATACACCAAGATTAAATGTGGATTTCTCCACTTTCTTGCCATTGTTTTAAAACTAATGTTAAATTATATCCCTCCACCACAAAAATTAAATCCTTAATATGGGCTTCAATGTGTGTGTATATATGTGTGTGTAGTGTGTGTGTGTGTGTATGCCATTGTTATATATATAAACAAAATATGGATATATATAGAGAGAGCCATATTTTGTAATACACACACAGAGAGACATACATATAAATATATATAGCGCCATATTTTGTGATACATATATATGTGTGTATTACAAAATATGGCATATATATATATTACAAAATATGGCTCTATATATAGATGTATGTATTACAAAATATGGCTATATGTATATATATTACAAAATATGGCTATATATGTGTGTGTGTGTGTGTATCCAAACCCTGGCTATATATATATATAGCCATATTTTGTTATATATAGCCATATTTTGAAATATATATATATAGCCATATTTTGTAATATATATATAGCCATATTTTGTAATATATATATGTAGCCATATATATATATATATATATATATATATATATATATTACAGCTATATATATATGTATTACAAAATATGGCTATATATATATATATATATAGCCATATTTTGTAATACATATATATATAGCCATATTTTGTAATACATATATATATAGCCATATTTTGTTATATATATTGCTATATTTTGTAATATATATATATAGCCAGAGTTTGTAATACACACATATATATAGTCATATTTTGTAATATATATATAGCCATAGTTTGTAATACATATATATGTGTATGTATATGTATGTATGTATGTATGTATAGCTATATTTTGTTATATGTTGTTGTTGTTGTTCATTCGTTCAGTCGTCTCCGACTCTTCGTGACCTCATGGACTAGCCCACGCCAGAGCTCCCTGTCGGCCGTTACCACCCCCAGCTCCCTCAAGGAAATGTATACACTCTCAAGAGAATTAAAATATTTTTTAAAAATGGCACACACACAAACATTTATATATATATTTTGTAATATATACATTTTGTAATATATACATATATATATATATATATATATATATATATATATATGTATATATTTCAAAATATGGCTATATATAGGTATAGTGGCTATACATATATATAGCCATATTTTGTTATATATATATATATATATATATATATAGCCATATTTTGTAATATATATATAACAAAATATAGCTATACATACATATATATATTACAAAATATGGCTATATATATATATATATATATATATATAACAAAATATGGCTATATATATGTATAGCCACTATACCTATATATAGCCATATTTTGAAATATATACATATATATATATATATATATATGTATATATTACAAAATGTATATATTACAAAATATATATATAAATGTTTGTGTGTGTGCCATTTTTCAAAAATATTTTAATTCTCTTGAGAGTGTATACATTTCCTTTTTAAAAGGCAACAAATTGTATTCAGAATTATAAACTTAAAGGCGTGTGTTTCTATGTGTATAGAGCTACATAGACATTGAAAACTACGTTTCCCGTGATGCTTAGCTGCCCTGTACACAGTGCATGTCCAGTACAGCGTTGTGGCGCGAAGCATTACGGGAAGCGTAGTTTTTTTAACCGCCTCTCAATTTTTCCCATTGAACAGCTCAGGATTTCTTGAGACCGGAAGTGAGATTCCAGCCCCGTCCAAAGGAGGCGTCGGGCGTTACGTCATCATAAAATGGCGGCCTGAAGCGAACGAGGGTTTGTGTGCCCAGCTTTCCCACCTCCCCCTGCCTCCTCCAGGTGGGTCTGCCCAACTCATTTGGAAAAGGGTACTGGACGCGACCACTGCGGCCTTTGCGGGGTGGCGGAGGCAGGCAAGACAAGGAAAGGCCCAAGGAAGAGTTGGGATGAGAAGGAAAAGGGGTGGGAGAAGACCCAGTTGGGATATAAGGGAGGGACTTCACTAAGCCATTGGTTTTGGGGAGTGCTTGTGAGATTGTCAGATTTGGGGGGTTTGAGCAGATTTTTAAAAGCTGTCACATAGTTCAGGTAGTGTCTGGTCTGTCTCTGGCCCATTCATTTGCATTAGACTGGCAAGGATGCCTCTTTCTTCACTGGGGCCAAAGCAAAATAACTAGCAAGGATTATGTTTCCTATTGGTAGGTGTCCAGAGGAGAGTGACTAAAATGGTCTGGAGATGGAGACCATGAATCCCTAGGACTCGGAGTTCAAAACACAGAAAAGGGGATTCCACTTGAATACTAGGAAGAACTTCCTGATTGTACAGGCTGTTTAGCAGTGGAACTCCCTGCCTCACAGTCTGGTGGAAGCTCCTTCCCTGGAAACTTTTAAACAGAGGCTGGATGGCCATCTTTCAGGGATGCTTTGATTGTGCTTTTCCTGCAAGGCAGGGCGTTGGACTAGATGGCCCACAAGGTCTCTTCCAATGCTCTTATTCTATGATTCTATGGCAAAAAGCAAACTTATTTCACTTCTCCACTTTGGCAGGAAAAATGAAATGCAAAGAGACAGAATGGGGGACAATGCCTGGCTCGAGAGCAGTACGTGTGAAAAAGATCTTGGAGTCCTCGTGGACAACAAGTTAAACATGAGCCAACAATGTGATGTGGCGGCAAAAAAAGCCAATGGGATTTTGGCCTGCATCAATAGGAGCATATTGTCTAGATCTAAGGAAGTAATGCTACCCCTCTATTCTGCTTTGGTTTCGCGTCCTAGTCTCCAAGGAAGCAGAAAACAAGCTTGCTCCCTCCTCCCTGTGGCTTCCTCTCACATATTTATACATGGCTATCATATCTCCTCTAAGCCTTCTCTTCTTCAGGCTAAACATGCCCAGCTCCTTAAGCCGCTCCTCATAGGGCTTGTTCTCCAGACCCTTGATCATTTTAGTCGCCCTCCTCTGGACACATTCCAGCTTGTCAATATCTCTCTTGAATTGTGGTGCCCAGAATTGGAACACAATATTCCAGGTGTGGTCTAACCAAAACAAGCTTTCATTGATTATACAGTGCCATATAATCTAGATTATTAAATCTGATCACCCACATCTGCTTTGAATTGGATTATATGGGTCTGCACTTCCAGTTCAAAACAGATAATCTGGAATTTAAATGGAAGTATAGAAGAGGTCTTGATATTTTGCCAAATAGATCACAAAAATCACAATTTAGGTACAGCATCAAACAGAGACTGCATACTTATTGTAAACTTCTAGATGCACAGGTATCACACAGGACCTAGCATTGGATCTGGGAGAAAGATGCCACTGCTCTGCTGACTTGGCATAGTCATGATTTTATCTTAGCGATTGGGCTTATTTGTGATTTTAATCAATACGTATTTTAACTTGTTATTATATGTTTTTTAGATTGTACTATTAGCATTGAATCCTTGCTGTAAGCCAGTCTGAGTCCCTCTAGGGAGGTTGAGAAGATCAGGATATAAATTTTTTAAATAAATAAATAGTCCAGTACAACTGGGTGGCATCAGGTTTGTGAGTTTTACTGTGGATTCTGGGCTCAGCTCTTCATTTTGATTAGAAGACAGCTGCTAAACCCGATTTCTCTGGACATGTATGCCAGCTGTTCCCAGTAATGATGGGATATGTTTCTTATATAGTATTTAACAATAGTAGTTGTATGTCCTGCATTATTGACATCTGTAATATAACTTACATTTTTGTGTGAGAGTCTAATTATTGGGATGGTGTTTTTGATACCTAGAATAGTTTCCTCTTTAGTAGGCATGGGCAAACTTTGGCCCTCCAGCTGTTTTGGTCTTCCACAATTCATAACAGCTGGTAGGCTATGAGGAATTGTGGGAGTTGAAGTCCAAAACACCTGGAGGGCTAAAATTTGCCCATGCCTGCTCTATAGTCTTTTCTTAGCAACTCAATCCTATCCTCCTGTCCCCTCCAGTTTAGATCAGAGGTAAGCCACCTTCTGTCCTCCATATGTCTTTGACTGCAACTCTCATAGGCCCCAGACAGCATGATCAGTGATCACATATTGGGACAACTGTAGTCCCAAGCATCTGGAGAACACCTGCTTGTGTGCCCCTAGTTTATAAGACTTTCTATAGGGACCATCTTACCTTTGCCATCCATTCTGAACATTGCACACTGGTGGTAAATATGTTCCTTTGCCTTCACAGGCCAGAGCAAAATCCCATCTCCCATTGCTGAAAATGCAGTGTGCCCATCACTGTGAGCACCTACTGGAGAGACTGAACAAACAACGAGAGGTGGGCTTCCTTTGTGACTGCACCATTATTATTGGTGAATTCCAGTTCAAAGCTCATCGAAATGTTCTGGCTTCCTTTAGCGAATACTTTGGGGCTTTTTACAGGGATACTTCAGAGAGTAACGTGTTCTTGGATCAGAACCAAGTGAAGGCCGATGGATTTCAGAAACTTCTAGAGTTCATATACACGGGAGACTTAAGCCTGGACAGGTAATACAATAGGGATGGGGATATATTTGCCTAGGGTCCAAAATAAACACGTTCTGGAGAATTGCAAAGACAGGCCTCTGCCTGAAATAGTCTCAGTTAAGGACATTGCAGATGGGTCAAGGAGGATGTGAAAAGGACCTAGAATATGCATGTGTCAAACAACAGTTCGTGTGTTCTGTTTTCCAGGGTCCTGGTTTGATTGCCATATCTTGAGTCAGAATTAGACCTCTTGAAAAAAGGGTACTGTGAGTGATTTGGAAAACCTGAAGGTTTTTCTTTCACCCTGGCTCCCGCAGGCAGCACTGGGAACCTTTCAGTTCAAAAAGAATTTTGTTTGTGTATGTGTTTAAAAGATGATGTAGAAAATTAACTTTTTTAAAGAAGAGGATGTAATCCTTTGGAGGTGCAATTCTTCCACTTTTATTTGAAAAAAAAAGGGGTCTCTGGCATGCCCTGGCTCTACAATCATGTCTGTGAGCCACATGGTTTAAGTCAGGCATGGGCAAACTTTCTAACTTGGGCGCCGCATGGCAGACTGTAGTGGGGTGGATGGGCCAAGAGGGAGATATTCTCCCCAAGTTCCCTCCCTGCCCTTTTCTCCCTTCTCTTCTCTTTCGGAGCGAGAACATGAAGGAAGATGGGAAATGTTTGGATCCTAAAAGGGCTAGCCTTGGTCAGGATGAGATGGTGGATGGGAGAGAAAAGTGTATCCATTAGACCCCGTATTGCCTACTCCTGATATATAATCCTAGAAACCTAGAGCTGGAAGAGACCTCCCCAAAGGCCATCCAGTCCAACCCCCTGCCATGCAGGAAGACACAATCAAAGCACTCCCAATAGACAGTCTCTGCAAAAAAGCCTCCAGAGAAGGAGACTCCATCACACTCTGAGGCAGCCTATGCCACTCTCCAACAGTTCTTACTCTCAGGAAGTTCTTCCTAATCTTTTCAGTCGAATCTCTTTCCCTGCCATTTGAAACCATTGCTCCCTCAGTTTTCCCTCTCTTCAATGGGACACCCTTTTAAATCTTTAAATCTCTTTTCCCCTACCTTCTCCCAGCTAAACATCCCCCAAGGAGGAAGGAAAAAGAGAAGGCAGAAGAAAGGAAGGGTGGAAGAGAAGGATGGATGGGAGGGAGGGAGGGAAGGAAGAGAGAAGGAAGAAAAGACAAAAGGGAAGGAAGAAAGGAGAAAGAGAGGGAGGAGGGTCTGAGAAAAGAGCCCAAGGGGACACACCCAGCACCCAGGCCTGGGTTTGCCCATACCTGGTTAAACAGTTACCCATACTCAGTTTTCCCTGAAAAAGTATGGAATTCAAACTGGAACATAACTGAGTGCTGATTTCCATTGTTGTTTCAATTTAGTTAAAAAAACTGATTTAAATGGACAAGGAACATTGCTTGCTTCATGCATGTTTTAAATAGTCATGTTTTCCTAAAATAAATGTGTGATTGGTGATTGAGGAAGGATAACACTCCTGCTTCACTGGTATACGAACAACTCCATTACACATCTGTTTCAATTTCCTTTTGCTAGGACACTCATTTCTGACACTATAATATAGTTTAAAAGCAAATCTCCATTTGAGAATGTTAGTTTTTTGACTTTTTCTTTGTATGGTGTTGTGGCTTGAATATCAAGTTTGCATGGAAGAGTTTATAAATAAATAAATACTAAACTTTATTTATATCCTGCCACCATCTCCCAAACGGGATTTGGGGCGGCTTACAAGGCACAACAAGTGTACTATATAACATAAACGGTACATGACTATAAAAACAATATCACATAAAAGTTATAAAAACAACCACTATTAACACATAAAATAAAATAAAAACACAGTTAAAGTCCCAAAGTGTCAGCCTCATACAGGCCCATTTCAGCCTACTCGAGGCCAAAAGCCTGCTTAAAGATCCATGTTTTTAGGCTGGATCGGAAGAAGTCAAGGGTGGGGGCCAACCTAATCTCCTTTAGGAGGGCATTCCAGGGCTGAGGAGCCACTATAGAGAGGGCCCTCTCTCTTGTCCCCACCAACTGCTCTTGAGACATTGGTGGAACTGAGAGAAGGGCCTCCCCTCCCAATCTCAAAGCCCGCTCCGGTTCATAGGAACGGTTGCAGTCTTGAAGATAGGTTGGACACTATCATGTGTACTTGGCTGTGAATGTTGCCAGAAGCCCTTGGGAAAATCAATAACATTTTGCATGTAATCCTAAAGCATAAATTTTGCATGTATTGCAAAGGGAACAAGCTTGAGTAGCAAGCCTTCAGTTCATATGCTCTGCCCTTCTCTTTGAGTGTACCTGCAAAAACATTAGCTCTTTCGTATAGTTTAAACCAGGTGTCCTCAAACTAAGGCCCGAGGGCTGGATACGGCCCTCCATGGTCATTTACCTGGCCCTTGCTCAGGGTCAACCTAAGTCTGAAATGACTGGAAAGCATACAACAACAACAGCAATCCTATCTCATCAGCCAAAAGCAGGTCCACACTTCCCATTGAAATACTAATAAGTTTATATTTGTTAAAAAAATTCTTCATTTTAATTATTGTATTGTTTTTAAGTGATTTTTTGGACTACAAATAACATATGTGCAGTGTGCATAGGAATTCATTCATGCTTTTTTCTCATTATAATCCAGCCCTCCAACAATTTGAGGGACTGTGATCTGGCCCTCTGTTTAAATAGTTTGAGGACCCCTGGTTTAGATTGTTTAGAATTCGAATTGATTCTAAAAGACCACTATTTTCATTCAGTTAGTACATCCATATTTACCTTTTCCCCCCTTGCAGTTGGAATGTTAAAGAAATACATCAGGCTGCTGACTATCTCAAAGTGGAAGAGGTAGTCACTAAATGTAAAATAAAGATGGAAGACTTTGCTTTTATTGCAAATCCCTCTTCTACAGAAATATCTAGTATTACTGGGAACATTGCACTGAATCAACAGACTTGCCTGCTAACTCTTCGTGACTACACTAGCCAAGAGAAATTGGATGCCCCTTCAGTGGACCCAGTCCCATCCCCAGTTTTAACAGCAACCTTGGGGAAAAAATCTGCTCAAACCAAAAAGCGGAAGAAGGCCTTCGGTTCCCCCAAAACACTGCCAGACAAGCCTGCACAATATCCAAACGATGTGACAGAGAGCACTGCCATAGAGATGTTTTTGGATGCAAATAAACTGGCAACAGAGATAACAGAGCAAGCTGCCCAAGGTGGGGATAATTCTGAGCTGCAGCTCACTCCTGTAGTGGAGAGTGAAACCTTTGCTGCCCAAGAGATCCTTATCCAGACTATGGCTATGAAACCCAAGCGAAGCAAAGCGCAGCAAAGTTGTGCTTTGAAAGAGCACTGCTTGTCTAACATCACCAGTGACAAGAACTCTTATCAGCTGGAAAGCTCAGGAGAGGAACTGGACCCAAAATATTCCAAGTCCAAACCAGTTTGTAACACCTGTGGCAAGGTGTTCTCTGAAGCCAGCAGCCTGAGGCGGCACATGAGGATCCACAAAGGTGTCAAGCCCTACGTGTGTCAGCTCTGCGGAAAAGCCTTTACACAGTGCAACCAGCTGAAAACGCATGTAAGGACTCACACAGGTAGGCTGATGGGAATTGTGGTACAGTAACATCTGGAAAGCTCATCCTTCACAAACCAGTGCTAAAATAAGCAGTATTATTCTCTCCATAGGGGAAAAACCATACAAATGTGAACTCTGTGACAAAGGCTTTGCTCAGAAATGTCAGCTGGTTTTCCACAGCCGTATGCATCACGGGGAGGAGAAGCCGTACAAGTGTGATGCTTGCAACCTGCAGTTTGCAACGTCTAGCAATCTGAAGATTCATGCCCGGTGAGTAAATGGGAATTGCCTACAACAGAGGAGGTGATTGAGGAGGCTGTTGTTCAGAGAAGTAGTTGATAGATACATTAATAGAATGTAACCATCTTTTCTTTTTTCCAATTTAGGAAACACAGTGGAGAGAAGCCATATGTCTGTGATAGATGTGGTCAGCGCTTTGCACAGGCAAGCACGTTGACCTATCATGTACGGCGACACACAGGAGAAAAACCATATGTTTGTGATACTTGCGGGAAAGCTTTTGCAGTCTCCAGCTCACTTATTACACACTCAAGAAAGCACACAGGTGATTCTTAAAAAGTAGAGTTGAAGGGGGATGGTGTAGCCCAGGCATGGGAAAACTTGGGCTTTCCACGTGTTTTGGACTTCAACTCCCACAATTCCTTAGGAATTGTGAAAGTTGAAGTCCAAAACACCTGGAAGAACCAAGTTTGCTCATGCCTGGTGTAGTCGAAATGATAGATGGAGTCGGAAATGATGTGGAAGCCACCAGAGCTGGAGTTGTACACCTTTCTTAGTTAGTGGGGCAATAGAACAAATGAGAAATTGTTAACTTGCCTTGAGTATATGAGCAGATTTTCCTTGCTGCCTGATTGACAGATGATGAGGAGATGTGAGACAAGTCTATGCCTTGTAATAAGACTGGAGAACTTGTAACTTTAAATATACTTTTGGATCTTGGCTCTCATCATTCGTAGCTAGTGGTCAGAGACAGTGGGATTTGTCATCCAAAAACATCTTGTTCTAGAAAAATTGGTAGCCTGCATCATAATATGTATTTTAAAGACAATCACAAAAATATATGAAATTTTTTTAAAGATTTCTGATTGAGAAAATATTTGTGTGTTTGTACGGTTCTGATATAGGGAGCATATTCACAACCTGTAAATTGGGTACTGAGTTACTTAACTACATTTCTTTCTGTAGGAGAGAAACCATATATATGTGGCATTTGTGGCAAAAGCTTCATTTCTTCAGGAGAACTCAGCAAACATTTTCGGTCTCACACAGGTTAGTTTTCAAGCATATATCTCCTTTTCAAAAGTTTAATCTCGGCATGTTTAAGATTGTTTAATACCAAGTACCATTTTAAAAGAGATTGTTATACTGTTTCTGTATGAAAAAAAAAACCCCTATGGCACTTTTAAGACTAATCAGCTTAATTTAGCAATAGTTTTTTTTTTTAATGGATTGCAGTTCACTGTACCGGATCATGGTGTAGTATAATATTGAAGCCTCAGACATAGTTGTGGGGGTTGATTCAGAGTGAAGTAGGACACTGAAAACATGGGCCACACCTTTTCAAAGTTTTATTCAAAAGGAAAAAAACTACTTGATTGTGCGTTGGCAGAATTCTGTGTTGGGGGTCTTATTAACAAAAGACCCCCTTCATAAATGTATAGCAGAGTAACTTAGCAGTGGCGTGACCCAGCACAAGTGGCCCAAAGTGATAAAAAAAACAAAAACACACAGGCCAGTGCTTTCTCTTCCATAGGCTTTTCTTTATTGCAAAATAATATGGTTGCTCTATTTGCAAGAACAAGGTTTCCATAACAAATAAACTTCCATGTTGGGCTTCTTTCTCATTCAGATGAACAGCTTCATTCTCATAGAGCCTCTTCTTATACCGAAGTTACACAGGAGCTTCACACAGTAGCGTTTTAGACACAGCAGCCTTCACGCTGGAGCTTCCTCTCACACTGAGGTGTTCTCATACTGAGGACTACTAACACTGAGGCCTACCTCACACTGAGGTCTTTCTCCCATTGGGCCTTCTCACATTGAAGGTCCTCTCAGACTGAGACCTTTCTCTCACTAAGGTGAACTAACACTGAGGCCTTCTCATACTGAGGCCTACTAACACATTGAGGCCCATCTCCCACAGAGGGCTACCTCAAGACTGAAGGCTGCTAAGCTACAGGCACACCTGCTTATATTGAACGCCAGTTTTTGCTGAGTCATTGCATCCATTTAACCCTTTTAGTGTTTGGCTCATATTTTTAAATTAAAATACCTAGTAAATATTCTATTCTATTAACTATTAACTATATATTAATTATATATATTATATTAACTATGAAATATTAACTATAACCAGAGTCCCTGGTGGCATAGTGGGTTAAACGGCTGAGTTGTTGAACTTGCTGTCTGAAAGGTTGCAGGTTCAAATCCAGAGAGTAAGATGAGCTCCCGCTGTTAGCCCCACCTTCTGCCAACCTAGCAGTTTGAAAACATGCAAATGTGAGTAGATCAATAGCTACCGCTCCGGAAGGAAGGTAACGGTGCTCTGTGCAACCGTGCCGGCCACATGATCTTGAAGGTGTCTGTGGATGATGCTGGCTCGTCATCTTAGAAATGGAGATGAGCCCCAACCCCCAGAGTCGGACACGGATGGACATAATGTCAGGAGAAAACCTTTACCATTCCCTAGTTAATATTTAATATTTATCACATTCTGTAGGTAAACTTTGTATTGATACAAGTAATGTGGAATGTTATGAAGCGAGGCATAGTAGGAACGTACATAATTTTTTCTCAAGGATTATTTTATTTTTCTTTACTATATATCAAAATATTTAACTGTTGAATTAGCATGCCACTGAAGAGCCATAAGAAATCAGCCTTTCCCTGTTGCGATCATGCTAAAGTAAGTTGCCCCCGGGGTGAGAAGGGCGGGGTATAAGTAAATGAAATAAATAAACAAATAAATAAATAAACATCAGCTTTAAGCTCACTGATTAGAAAGTAAACCATTATTTGGAGCACACACACGCTAGATTATTTCATCTTCTTGTACATGTATGATATTTAACTAGGGGTTTTTGTTTTGTTTTGTTTTCCCAAGGTGAAAGACCATTTATCTGTGAGCTGTGTGGAAATTCTTACACAGATATTAAAAACCTAAAGAAACACAAATCAAAAGTTCATACAGGTAAGAGCTGGTCTCAGAAGGCCGCCCACGCAACCTCCATGCTCATAAAAGAAACCCTTAGCTCAGTGGTTCTCAACCTGTGAGTCCCCAGATGTTTTGGTCTTCAGCTCCCAGAAATCCTAATAGCTGGTAAACTGGCTGGGATTTCTAGGAGTTGTAGGCCAAAACACCTGGGGACCCACAGGTTGAGAACCACAGCCTTAGCTCAACTTCAACCAAACAAACATGGTGGGCTGTAAGTTATCTATCAAAATGAAAATATTTGTGTTGAGGTGACAAATTAAAGACATTTGTCATCCTTTTAGTAGTCTCTCTGAAGTTTTGGTGTGGACTCTCCTTTCCTTTTATTTATTTGCTGATTACTGCAACGTGCTCTATGTGGAGTTGCCTTTGAAGACTATTTGGAAGCTTCAACTAGTCGAACGGGTGGCAGCCAGATTGCTCACAGGAGCAGCGTACAGGAAGCATACCATCTCTCTGTTATGTCAGCTCCACTAGCTGCCAGTCTGCTACTGGACACAATTTAAAGTGCTGGCTTTGGCCTATAAAGTCCTATATGGTTTTGGCCCAGCTTACTTGTCCAAACGTATCTCCCTCTACAATCCACCTTAAGATCGTCGGAGGGGCCCTGCTCTGGATCCCACCACCCTTGCAAGTGCAACTGGTGGGGATGAGAGACAGGGCCTTCTCTGTGGTGGCCCCCTGTCTGTGGAACATGCGCCCCGCTGAAATCAGGTTGGCCCCTTCCCTCTTGTCCTTTAGAAAAACGTTTAAATCATGGCTATGGGATCAGACATTCGAGCAGCAGACACAGCATTAATAATGTATACTCTTTTATTGATTGACAACAGACAGACTGCGGACTATGATTTCGGATGTGGTTTGGGATTTGGTCTTGGATTTGTTAGCTTTTAATTGAATGTTTTAATTCATTGTTTTGTTAATGTTTTAATTGTGATTTTATTGCTATTGTTTTTGTGGCATCTAATGAGTGCCGATTGTAAGCTGCTCTGAATCCTCCTTCTGGGGTGAGAAGGGCGGGATATAAATGTCCAAAATAATAAATAAATAAATGGTGCCCTTATGTCTTCCGAAGGACATATGGAATAAGCAATTCCATTCTCTAGGAGGGAATCTTCACATACTTTAAGATAAGCAGACTTTCTACCATAAAATTATTTCTGGCTACTTTCTGATTAGGAAAGAGACTTTTTCTAGGCCTCAAACAGTACAATAGTCTCTCAAGGCTTGCAAAGAGGACAGGAAAGACTTTTCCAGCAAAAAAGGAGGGGATTGAGATCTTGTATCCCAGATCCTGGGGGTGGACCTGTATCTATTGCAGCTTTGCTTTCAAGGAATGCCCAGGCTTAAAATTGTGTTTGTCTCCCCAGGTTCTGAGAATGGCCTGGACCCCGTCACACTTGAGCATTCCTTTAATGACCCGGACTCACTTCCACAGGAGAAAAGCCCTTTGCTGGAGTCTGTCGATGTGAAGCCTTCAGACATCGCCTTGCCTCTCCCTACTGGGATAGAAGACCACCAAGTGCTGTTGCCGGTAACGGACAGCCAGTCTCCCCCCTCAGACACTCTTCTGAGGTCGACCATTGCTGGATATTCAGAACCTCAGTTTATTTTTCTCCAGCAGTTGTACTGAAATCCCCTCTGGCAGCGAGGGCATCTTTGGTAAAGCGAATGTAATCATGTGGCTGTTTTTAAGTCAGACTTTGACTTGGATTCATATAGAGTCACTTGTAGCTCCCTTTTTTCATTCTTATGGTTTTTTAAATCAAGAACAAAAGATTCTGGAGTTCCTTTCTCTTTGAAAGAATTACGTTTGCATTTTTTAGAAGATAAATATGTCTTTTTTCCCCTCCAACACCTGCCTTAAGTGGTCTTTCAGTTAATCTGGATGACTCCATTGAAGTTCAAGCTGTGTGTCTTCTGTAGTCAATATATGATCAGTTCCTGTTGTCCACTCACCAGCTAATTCGCCTTCTTAAGTGCTCAGTAAAGTTCCTTTCTTGGGCTAAAACTTCCACTTTAGATTTCCAGGAGCTGTAGTCTTAGAAAAAGAAACTTTTCAGAGCTCCTAAGTGAAATTTAGTGAATAGAGACAGCAGAGGAAGCTCTTCTTCATGAATTCTGTCATCCGTGCTTAGAGTTGTGTGTTTTCTGCATCCAAGTAGTTCAAACGTATGTGTTGAGAGCTGAATTCTATATTTGAACTAAATTTGCATGATTTTTTCTTATTTTGCATTACAGGTTTGGGTGGCCCTGTCAAGGGCTTTTCAGGGCATTAAAACTGTCAGGCAAATCCCGTTTCATCCATCCTGACTTCTAACACATCAGCAGACACTCCTTTGAAAATGTTATTTTTTTTTTTATAGCTATAGAGATTTCTAAAACTGTGTGAAATGAAAAGTTAGATTTTGTTGTAAAGCTGGACTTAACATACACTCAAAGCTTTTTCCATACTGATTCTCAGCAGAACCATTCCCCTAATTATGAAGCAGTTTGATATGGAGATGTGACTACTCGTAGACAACAGTTAGGATAGGCATTGAACTTGTTCATGGAACTGTGTTGCATTTTGAAGCTGCTTTTATATGGCATAAGAGAAAATCTAAGTGGCCATGGGTATAATAATCAAAGTGTAAATACCTTCGCTCATGAAAATGTCGTTACAGAAATGAGAGAGTGTGTATACACACAAACACACACACATACATATATAGGGATGTTTAGCCATGCTAAGTCTGGAGTAGCAGAAGAACAAAGGTTCACAGAGTGGTCATGTGCCTTTGTTTCCAACTTTTGGGGACTCTCCCACAAGGTTTTCTTGGCACGATTTGTTCGGAGGTGGATTGCCCTTGCTTTCCTTTGAGGCTGAGGATGAAACTTTCTCAAAGTCAACCAGTGGGTTTCCATGGACAAGCAAGGATTTGAATACTCGAATTAATTCAGAGATCTAGCTGCTCCAAATGTTGGCCCATAGTTGGTTTTTTTCTACTAAGATGTCTTCAAAAGAAGCCCAACTCCTGTTGTTTTTCCTTTGCCCTCAGTATTCAGATGCCCTGCTTCTAAAGTTGCGAGATGCTCCTTTCCTTGCTGTGATGTGTAGTGGTGATGATTAGGCAGAAACTAATATCCTCTGTACATTGATTATGTTATGCAGTGGTTTTCAGGATTGCTGGATTGTCCAGGTTTAACAGCACATTAACAAAAAAGGAGGATGTTTTTATATTTTCATTCTTTGACAGATCAAAATGATACTTTTATAATGGCCTTATTCTTGTTACGTTTAGCAAGTGGTATTATGCGGGCTTTGTTGCTATTCTGCGTTGGGAGTTTGGGGAAGCAACAAATGAAGATGGCTGAAGGGATCAAGAAATGCTGTTTTGGAACATGATGCTTTAGAAATGTATCCAGTGCAACAAATGCATTTTCATTCACTGTACCATACAGAAAACACAAAATTGTTTAGTGATATTTGGTCCTGAGGAAACTACATTTGGCTGAGAAATAGATTGGAGATTTGGACAGAATTATATGTGTCGAAATTTACGTAACTTGGATGAGGAGTCTTGAAATATGGAAAGTACACATCTGTCTATAATTCAGTGGTTCTCAACCTCGGGTCTCCAGATGTTTTGGCCTACAACTCTCAGAAATCCCAGCCAGTTTAGCAGCTGTTAGGATTTCTGGGAGTTGAAGGCCAAAAACATCTGGGGACTCCAGGTTGAGAGCCACTGGTCTGATTGAATGTAGGTTCTTCTGCTTTCGCGACTTGGTGTGAGTGGGACAGAGGGAAATGGGCCTTGGGGGGAAATACAGTGTTCCCTTGCTACTTCACAGTTCGCTTTTCGCGGACTCGCTGTTTTGCGGGTTTTTGCCTCCCAGTTTATGAATGATTGCCATTGCCCTGATCGACGTTCTAATTGGCAACAGTGGAGTGTGGAAGGGGGTTTCGCCCTCCCCCTTGGGAGAGAGGCATCAAATCAAGAGAGATTACAAAGCAAAGCAGAGATAGCTAGCAAAAAAAGGTGCATAGTGCCTTTAAATCTCTCCTCGCTTCTGCCTCACCCTCGCAACGCGATATACATATATAGCATCCCTACTTCATGGATTTACACTTTTCGTGGGTGTTGCTGGACCATAACACCCGCGATACACTGTAGATCTTTTCTTTTGTAATCATGAAGGTTAGGAACTTGGTTAAACAAAACCCAGCTATTTGTGGACTCTTATTTCCCAAGGCTATCATGCTGACCTACTAAAATCAGAGGCAAAGGGAATACTATTCTCATATCCCTTGATACTCCATTTAATCTCTTCAAGAAAGGTTGCAGCGTGGGTCTGTTTATCCACTATCCAGTTTTTTCGGCCTCAAGGATCAATTCCTCTTTTGCCACCAGAAACTTCTGATTATAAGAGATTTCAAACAGACTTTTTACATGGTACAATCTTGATTGTATCATGGATCTGGGAATGCAGAATCCTTGTTTCTTCTCTGAAAAGCATTAATGACCTAAATTCAAGAGTTAATCCCAACTGTAGTATATGCATTACATTAATGGAAACTTAGTGAAGTCAGTGCTTAAGTCAGTGCTGCTATTTGTGTTGTGGAGAAGAGGGACATGAACTTGACTGTTTAGTATTTATATTTTATACGAGCATTTCCACTTGGGTTTTGTGTCTTGTCACCTTTTCTAAAAAAAAGGAAGCATACAGTACTTTAAAAAAGGCCCATTCTTAGATTTTTCTTAGACTCTAGTTAGCTATTTAATATTTATAAAGATGTTTTACTTTATAGACCTCATTTGCCTTTTGTACATGAAGTATTTTTCCAGAGTCCGTATTCCCATAACACTAAGCGGACTCTGAGAGAGCGGAAATCTATTGTAGCAATAATAAAAGAAGTATCCCTTTTACTTTCCAAACTTGGAAATACTTACTGTGGTGTGCAAAGGCTCCTTTAAAAGATACTCATTTATAAAATCATGGACTGTACTGCTGGGAAGAACATGATTTCTGGGGTCCTATCAGGATTGTAAGCCGCCCCGAGTCCCTTCGGGGAGATGGAGGCAGGGTAGAAAAATAAAGTTCTTCTTATCAACCATAGGGCTATGTTACTTGCATCTGTTAAGTAGAGCTTGGTACTCCTTGAACCTTGCCTAGATATGCAGCTGGATTTATTCAATAGACCATCTAAGGTTCATCATTTGCTGTGATTCACTGTTGTGGTGGCACAATGGGTTAAACTCTTGTGCCGGCTGAACTGTTGACCTAAAGACTTGAAGGTTAGTGGTTCGAATCTGCAAAACGGGGTGAGCTCCCATCTGTGAGCCCCAGCTTCCCATGCAGGGACATGAGAGAAGCCTCCTACAGGATGGTAACACATCTGGGAGTCCCCTGGGCAACGTCCTGGCAGACAACCAATTCTCTCACACCAGAAGTGACTTGCAGTATATTCTCAATTCACTTCTGGCATGATAAAAAAAACTGCCTGTTGTGAATATAAGTATTTGTTTTCAATCTGAGGCCCTACTTTCATGGGGGAAAAGAATGTTTACTCCAGCCTTCCTTCTCCTTGGTGTTTTGTACTTCCGCTCCCATGATTCCTCACCATGTGGCCATATTAGTTGGGCTCAATGGTCGCTGTTCCCAAAACAACTGAAGGACCTCAACTTGGGGGTTTAACTTTCCCTCTATTCATAGTTCAAGATTCAGTGGGGTTCATGGAGCCCTCCAGAAATCGTTGAACTGTGGAACCCTCACTAACCCTAGCCGTCATAGCCAGTGGTGAGGGATTTGCAGTTTAGCAATATCTGGAGGGGCATATAATTCCCACTAAGTTCTTGCTCAACATGCTTCTTTTGCCAGTATAAAAGGGATTTTCTTAAGAGCTAGTATAAGTCACTCTTCCTGATTTAATGTCTGACATTCTTCACATGTATGTACAAAACATCTTTGTTCCTCGTTCTCTGTGTAGAGCTTGCTTTTTGTATTTATACTTTCCTATAAGGTTTTGTGTACATACCTAACTTGCAATACTTCAGTGTTAGCCTTGAATAAAACTTGTTTTGTAGTACTTCTTTGTTCTGAATGTTACTGTTTTAGATATAATTGCTCTGGAGAGAGGTGCGGGTTGGAAAAGCCTAATTTCAGAATGATTTGTTTCACTGCTAAGCAAAAGTACCATTATAATTTGATAGAAGAACGGATGTATTCACTAGTTACATGCCACATTGTTTCATTACTTTTTGTAACACAGGTAGTTCTGTTTTAACTATTGTCAGGGTCAGGGGAAAATAAATCAATGAAACATATACTTTGCTTGAAAAAGCTGGTTGTGAAATTGACTTGTTGCCGATCTAGTGCAAACTAGGAAAAAGGCCCTCTGTAATTTCCAAGTGAGATGGATGCAACTTATTTGAGTTAAGCTTTTCTAAAGAGTTGGTTTGTTTCATATATTGAGATTATGCAGCAAGAATTGCTACTGACATAAGAGAAGGCATAAATTTCTGCTACAGGAACTGAAATGTTAATGATGTCCCAAATGCAGTGTTTTTCATTAGAGATCATGCACATAGTCCGGCACAGTAAATATATAATTGGGCAGTTAAGTCATTAGTATACCCATGTCAGTTGATAAACTAGCAAAGGTTTCAGGCAGAGATTAAATGGTTTTAGAAAAACAAAGCTACAGAGGAATCTATTTTAATGGTCTTGTACCTTGAAAAAAGAAGTCCTGGTGGCGCAGTGTGCTAAGCCACTGAGCTGCTGAACTCGCTGACCGAAAGGCGGTTTGAATCTGGGGAGCGGGATGAGCTCCCACTGTTACCCCCAGCTTCTGCCAACCTAGCAGTTCAAAAACATGCAAATATGAGTAGATCAATAGGTACTGCTCCGGCAGGAAGGTAATGGTGCTCCATGCAATCATGCTGGCCACATGGCCTTGGAGGTGTCTACAGACAACACCAGTGCTGCGGCTTAGAAATGGAGATGAACACCATCCCTCAAAGTTGGAAATGACTAAGCTTACTGTCAGCGGAAACTTTTACCTTTTTTATTTAGAGCTAAGAAGTCATTAATGGATCCCCTGGTCTGTTAAAGGAATATAAAGCATACCATGAATCTAGGTGCATGCCCTGCACCACTGGAGCTGTAGTATCACCAGCTAATGATCTTGAATGTATAAAAATCACAACTGAGATTGACAGGACAGATCACTTCTCTCAAATCAACAGGATGTCCTTTATGGGTAAGTATTCTTGTTATGCTTGTAATTCAGAATGTCTGGAGGGTTTTCACTTCTTACAAGCAATTTTTGTTGACAAATCATGAACCGCAGGTTTAATTCCACTGATACAACTTTTCATTTCTGATTCTCCATACCCAACTGGGATTGTGGTGCAGCTGGCTGAGTGTCAGCTGCATTAAGATCACTCTGACCAAAAGGTCATGAGTTC